CCAAATACAAGTCACTAAGCAGTTCTTAACTGATTGTTGTTGCACAATATATTCTTGATTAATCATATGTCATTTACAGTACTTGATGGAGATGCTCTTTACAGTCTTCTTTTTCCAAATAAGTATTTGTTTCAAGTGCAACATAAGATATTTGGTACCACCAGTTATGTTCGAGATACACAATCTAGTGTGACAAAATTGGACTCAAAGACCTTGAAATATATATTTTTGGGATACTCTCGCCTTCAAAAAGGATACCGGTGCTACTCTTTAGATCTCAATAGATATTTGATATCAACTGATGTGCTCTTTTTAGAGGATACACTATTTTTTTTCTCATTGTCTAAGTCTACAAGTCAGGGACGGATGATGAATAGTTCATCTATAATTTCACACTAAATACCTTTACTGAACAAATAGATAATGGTACTTCTCCAAATGATGTGTCTCCAGTCTTGCTTGAGTAAGTTGATGATAGTGTTAGTGTGCCTCTAACCCAAGTACTACCTCCAATTATTTATGTGTATTCTAAAAGATAATAGACTAATGATAAATGTCTTGCACCAAGTCCGTCATTATTTGATGTTGCCTCACAAGACCTTGATCTTTCTATTGGTTTTCATAAACGTAAACGTCAATACACCATTCCTATGCCAACTTATCACATTTCTAATTTTATCTCATATGATCATCTGTCTCTTTCGTCTAATGCTTTAATTGTTTTTATGGATTCAATTTCTATACACAAGATAATTAAAGAGGCTCTAAATCATCCTAATTGGCTTAATATCATGCTTGATGAGACAAATGCTCTTGATGATAGTCAAATCTGGGACCTGATAGATTTACAAAAAAAACTATAAGGTCCAAATGGGTATTTATAGTCAAAGTGAATATAGATGGCTCTATGGCGAGACTTAAAGCTTGACTGATAGCGAAAGAATATACTCATACTTATGAGGTAGACTATTCTAATACATTTTCTCCATTTATCTCTGTCTATTTATTCATATCTATTATAGTTTCTCAAATTGGTCGTTACACCAGCTGGACATTAAAAATATATTTCTTAATAGTGATCTCTTAGAAGAAGTGTATATGGAGCAACCATCTAGATTTGTTGCTCAAGAGGAGTGTGGAAAAGTATTTCATTTGAAAAAAATCTTTGTATGGTCTAAAATAGAGTCTTCGAACGTGGTTTGGCAAATTTAGTGAGGTAGTCTATGAGTTCGGATTAAAAAAAAGTAAGTGCGATCATTTAGTCTTCTATAGACAATCAACAGCTAATATTATACGTTTTATTATTTACATTAATGATATTGTGATTACAGGAAATGACTATGTAGGAATATTATTTTTCAAGTCATTCTTGTTGTTTACATTGATGATATTGTGATTACAGAAAATGACTATGTAAGAATATTATTTTTCAAGTCATTCTTATATACCAAGTTTAATACCAAAAACTTCAGACATCTAAAATACTTCTTGGGAGTTGAAGCAATAAGAATAAGGAAGGGATTCTGTTATCTTAGAGAAAGTATGTACTTGATCTACTGGTAAAAACAGTAAAGTTGGGAACTAAGCCATGCAATACACAAATGATACAAAATGTACATCTTATAAAAAATGATGTGATCCCCTTAATGATCCAGAAAAATACAGATGACTAATTAAAAAAATTGAATTACCTCACTGTGATTCATCTAGATATTACATACTCTGTCAGTGCTGTTAGTCAGTTTATGTTTGCACCTACAATTAAATATTGGGAGGTTCTATGATAGATTTTATACTACTTAAAAAGTGCCCTAGGACTTGGAATAATATTCAA